GCATTGCCCACCCTCAATTTGGGAGATTGTGGTACACCTTTTTTTTTTTTTTTGATCAGCAAAAGAGAAGGAAATTTTATTGATGAACCAAGAGAATATTACATCAATAAATAAAAGGAATGAGTGCAAAAAGTATCATAACGAAACAAATCAATCACAACTAGGTTGGTACCGATAAGTCCGCCCAATCATATGCCAGCATAATATCAAGAGTTGGTGAGTAACTAACCACAAACACAGAAACCAACCACACCCAAATAATAGCTAAACAAAACCAAAAACAACAAAAACAGAAAAAAAAAATTACAGAGCAAAAATTTTCTCTGCTCCACAGATCTCTGCCCAAACAGACCAAAACCAGTAAACAACAGCAAAAAGACCAGTAACAAACATCAGTAGTAGCAACAACCACCCTCAAATGGATCTCTGTCCAAACAAACCAACAACAAATAGCAGAGGCAACAATGATCTTCAATAGATCACCTCTGCTCACAACTCCACCTCAAACCAACACCTAACAGATACTCCTTTTCACCTTACACAATGTCATTGACAGAGTAAATGCAATCAGCATCCACAGCTTTCAACTAGTTTGCCATCCTCACTTTAATAAGATCAGTAAGGGCCGCAGTGTTTGGTTGAGTACCATAAAAAATACCCTCATTCCTATACCTCCATACCGACCAAATCACAACTACCGGTAAAGTTCTCCAAATCTGCCTCTTTCTTTCTGAATTTCCAACCCATCCATCATTGCATCAAACACTGCACATATCCAGGTAAAACCCAACACAATTCCCACCAATCCAGAATACTTACCAAACTTTCCACACTAAGGGCACCAAAGCAGAATATGATTTAATGACTCTGGTTCATATTTATAGAAAACACATGACATATCAACATTACCTCTTAGCACTCTAATTTTATGCAGGAAATCCAATGTTTTCATCTTGCCTATCCAAGTTAACCATGTTATAAACTTAGCTTTGGGTGAGGAAATATTATGCCAAATCAAAGATGCTGACCCTATTTTAGGTCCTAAAGACGATTCATAACTCTTATACACATTACACACCTTAAACACTCGAGCTTGATCTGCTTTCCATCTTGGAGTGTCCACCAGATTCATAATCAACCTTGGCCCTTCACTTTCCATCACTTGGAGATTGTGGCACACTTTCCGTCACTTTTAACAGAAAAACTAACGGTAGCACTTTAATATAAAATCATATAATGAGGTTCTCTGTATATATTTGAACCATAGATGGATAAAGTGTTCCGAAGCAAAATTATAAAGGATAAAGTAAATTTTGTCCTAAAACAATAAAAATAAGAGGTGTAATGAGCTACAATACAAGTGTTGCAAGTAGACCATCCCGTAACAAAATTGACAATATTGGTCATATTAATTATAAAGAGTCGTAATTAATTATTTTTTTCTTACTGTATACCCTTTATAATTAACACTACAAAAATTCATAATTTTCTTACAATAGTGAAAGTGTGCGTAATAGTATTTTCCAATAACTTATCTTAATTTTATCGTTTGAAGATGAGTTGGCATGGTGTGATTGGTGAAGGTCCAAAGAAGCATTTAGTTAGATGAGATGGCATTTGTAGAGAAGAGCATGAGGAACTAGGAACTGGTCAACCAGAGGAATTGGAAACGGATTAGAGAGAAAGAGAATTGGGGAAAGAAAGAAAGATAGAAAGAAAGAAATGGGAGTAAATCTCTCTCGCTTATTCACCACTTCTCGAAACAAAACCAAACTTGTCTACTCTTCAAGAATGGGTCTTTCCCTTTCTCTTTCTTTTTCTCTTTGGCCTCATTTAAAAATAAGTTATTTTAATAATATTTTATTTTTTTGACAAAAATTATGAGATAATTTTTTAATAGGGAGCTTTTTTGATAAATCCACTTTCTAAGAGTTTTATTCCATCCAACCCATATTCTTTTTGACTATTCCATTAGGTCCTATTTGAGATAAGAAGACCAAAATACCCATTTCATCTACTTATATTCCATTTAGTTCACACTATTTTCTTATGTTTCAATAAGTCCTATAGGTGACATAATTACCAAAATACCCCTAATGTGAATATTCACACCGTCAATGTAAATGTTCATATCGTCAATCTGCAGGGGCTCAACCCATGTCGATCCTCGTGGGTGCCCGGAAAAATTTGAGTCGGGCCGGGACGGGCCCAGCCCATTGACAATGTGAATATTCATATTGACATGTTAACATCCACATTAATAGGAGTGTAAAATTTGCTCGCGTCCCATGGCGGCGCGAAACCTGTTCGCGGCCCATGGGCGGCCCGGGGCTGGCCCGGTCCGGCCCGTTGACAATGTGAATATTCACATTGATAAGAGTATAAAATTGGCCTGCGGCCTAGGGCGGGTCCGGCCCGTTGACAATGTGAATATTCACATTGACATGTTAACATTCACATTGATAGGAGTGTAAAATTAGCCCGTGCCTTGTGGCTGCCCGAAACCCGCCCACGGCCCGGGGCGGGCCTGACCATTTTTTTTTAATTCTATTTAATTTTTTCTACCAAAATTTTATTATTTTCCACAAAAAAAGGCACTAGGCCTCGGCGCGGGCCGGGCCTCGGACCGAGCCTTGAATAGGCCTTAACCGGGCCGATGGGCCGGGCTAGGCTTCAAAGTGATGACCGAGGCTCTAGCCTAGGATCTCGGACTAGGCTCGAGCCTGCGCCCAAACAAGCCTTTCCCGGGCCAGGTCGGGCCGGCCCACAGGCCAAAAAATTAGGCCCAGGCCTTAGACCTGGCACAAGGGTATTCGGGCTTTGGACGGGCCGATGGATCGAGCCTCGGGTCGGGCCGGTGGGCCTAGGCCTAGCCTCGAGCTTAGGTCAGGCTTGGGCGAGCCTGGCCATTTTTTTAAATTTCTTTTTAAATTTTTCTACTAAAATTTTATTATTTTCCACAAAAAAATACATTACGCCTCGGGCGGGCTGGGCCTCGGACCGAGCCTTGAATGGGCCTTAAGCGGACCAATGGGCCAGGCCGGGCTTCAAAGTGATGACCTAGGCCCTGACCTAGGGTCTCGGACATAATCGGGCCCGGATCGAAACGAGCCTACCCCGGGCCGTGGGCGAGCTTCGGGCAACCCACGGGCAGCGAGCCAATTCTACATTCCTATCAATGTGCATTTTAACATATCAATGTGAATATTCACATTGTCAACGGGTCGGGTCGGGTCGGGTCTACCCCAGGCTGCGGGCAAGTTTCAGGCAGCGGGCAAATTTTACACTCCTATCAATGTTAATGTTAACATGTCAATATGAATATTCACATTGTCACGGGTCGGGCCAAGCCCGCTTCGAGCTGCGGTCAGGTTTCGAGTCGCCCACGGGCTGCGGGCCAATTTTACACTCTTATCAATGTGAATGTTAACATGTCAATGTGAATATTCACTTTGTCAACGGGCCGGGTTGGGGCCCCCGTGGCCCGCTGGCCAATTTTTTACTCTTATCAATGTGAATGTTAACATATCAATGTGAATATTCACATTGTTAACAGACCGGGCCGGGCCCGCCCCGGGCCACCCATGGGCCGTGAGCGGGTTTCAGGCAGTCACGAGGCGCGGGCTAATTTTATACTCCTATCAATGTGAATGTTAACATGTCAATGTGAATATTCACATTATCAACAGGCCGGATCGGGCCCGCCCCGGGCCGCCGACCGGCCGTGGGCGGGTTTCGAGAACTCACGAGGCGCGGGCTAATTTTAAACTCCTATTAATGTGAATGTTAACATGTCAATGTGAATATTCACATTGTCAACGGGTCGGGTCGGGCCTACCCCAGGCTGCGGGCAAGTTTCGGGCAGCGGGCAAATTTTACACTCCTATCAATGTTAATGTTAACATGTCAATGTGAATATTCACATTGTCACGGGTCGGGCCAAGCCCGCTTCGAGCTGCGGTCAGGTTTCGGGCCGCCCACGGGCTGCGGGCCAATTTTACACTCTTATCAATGTGAATGTTAACATGTCAATGTGAATATTCACTTTGTCAACGGGCCGGGTTGGGCCCCCCGTGGCCTGCTGGCCAATTTTGTACCCTTATCAATGTGAATGTTAACATATCAATGTGAATATTCACATTGTTAACAGGCCGGGCCGGGCCCGCCCCGGGCCGCCCATGGGCCGTGAGCGGGTTTCAGGCAGTCACGAGGCGCGGGCTAATTTTATACTCCTATTAATGTGAATGTTAACATGTCAATGTGAATATTCACATTATTAACGAGCTGGACCGGGCCCGCCCCGGCCCGCCCATGGGCTGAGGGCGGGTTTCGCGCCGCCACGGGACGTGGGCCAATTTTACACTCCTATTAATGTGAACGTTAACATGCCAATGTGAATATTCACATTTTCAACGGGCCGGGCCCGCCCCGGCTCGCGGGTTGGTTTCGGGCCGCCTACGAGCCAATTTTACATTCCTACCAATGTGAATTTTAAAATATGAATGTTCACATCATAAAATTGCTAACCGTTCAAAAATATGTATAAGGGTATCAAAATTAAATATAAGGGCATAAGTGTCCAAGAAAATAGTGTAAATCAAGAAAAATGACTATGAAATAAAACTATACATACATGAGACTAAATGGGTTAAAAATTCCTTCATGGACTTCTTTGGTTAAAACACTTCTAAATAAGATTTATCAATAATTTTCCATTTTTAATATGCAAAAGGTAGAGAGAATTTTTGATTTTTTTGTATAATTTTTTTAACTTTTTAGTGACTTTTTGATTTTTAAACTAAAATCTAATATTCCTAAACTAGGCTAGAGAGCTTCCAATTTTTCACAAAACCCCCATGATCTTCTCTTCTTTTCCTAATATCTTTCTTTGCCTCTCATTCTCATTTCTACTTATTAATAGCCAATAATCTTGTTCTAAAATGGTTTGGAGTTTTTTATTCTTTGTTTTCTTTGTTCTAATTCTAATTCTAATAGAAAGATCAAATAGATAGACAAGATATATCGGAAAAATAAAAGAAAAAATGGGTCGTGTTAAACTTCAAATTAAGAGAATAGAAAACAACACAAACCGGCAAGTTACTTTCTCCAAACGTAGAAATGGACTCATCAAGAAGGCTTATGAATTATCGGTTCTTTGTGACATTGATATAGCTCTCATCATGTTCTCTCCCTCTGGTCGTCTCAGTCATTTCTCTGGCAAGCGAAGGTGCATTGCAAGCACACTATATATCTTTGATATCTATCTCCATCTCTATCTGTACACATGTCAAGAAACCAAGCCATGCATTATGCATACCTTTTTTTTTTTTTTTTTAATTCCTACTCGGTTGCCACCTTTTCTTGAATATATATGTGATGTTGTTTAATAGGTATTTTGTTTTAGGGTTTTATATGTCATATTACATTCTTACATTGTACTCTCTTTTTGTTTGTTTGTTTTGTTTTGTTTTTGTTTTTGTTTTTGTTTTTGTTTTTTTTTTCTGTTTTTTGTATTTACAATATTGCTAATATAGTTTTTCTTTTATAGAATTGAAGATGCACTTAGCCGTTACGTGAATCTCGCAGATCACGACAGAGGAGGGTATGATCTTTTTTAGTTTTCCATTGATTTTGATCTTCTAGTTGTGTTTACAACTTTGTTTTATTTGTATATATATATATACACACACGAAAAAGTGATCTCAACATTTGTTGTTATTTGCAGCATTCTTCAAAATAGAGAGGTATGATGATAGCTTATTTCATGTTGAATTGATTTTTTGATAAATTGAAATACTAAAAAAAAAAACAAAAAACAAAAAAAATTGTCTATATATATTTTTGTAGTACTTGATCAGCACCCTACACAAAATAAAAAATGAAGATGACATGGCCCTTGAATTTGCCAGGTTTCTCTCTCTCTCTCTCTCTCTCTCCACCAAATTATCTATTAGTATTCATTGATGTTTCTAACCATGTAAATTTTATTTTTGATCAGTCCAGCCGAACTTAACTTAAATTTGGAGGTAAAATAACGATTTCCCTCCATCATGGCGAGCTTAATTTGGGAATAAAACCATTTCTTGAGGGTTTCATTTAATATTATTGGTTTTATGACTAAATTCCCATTTTCTTATAGGAACTCCAACGAGAAATCAACAATTTGCAACAACAGCTCCAGATGGCTGAGGATCAACTAAGGTTAGAGAGCTTTATCTAAAAACATTATAATTTAGAACAAAATATGCTTGAAACACATGCTATTAATGATGTCTTATGTGTGGTGAATTTTAGTGGATTATCAAAAGTAAAACGAATAAGATGTTTGGTGTGTGTTTTCATGGATTCAAAGTATATTTGAGCCGTACGTATTAGGGTTTACATCTATGGAGGAACTTGAGTCATGTGAAAAGAACCTCTTGGAGTCAATGAACCGTGTCATGCAAAGAAAGGTATCAATCATGGCCATCAAGCTAATTAATGAACAATATCTCAAGAACTAATTAATACATTTCTTTTTTCTTTTCTCTCTTTTATGACCCTTTTGTCTCTTATTGCAGAAATATTTAATGGGCGATCATTTGTCCACATTTGATATTCAGGTAACAATGGCAAGAAAATTGTTGAGTAGACTTCAATACGAAAAATAACAAAATTTTATGAATTTTGTAATTTGATGATTAATCTGATTTATATGTTATTAATTACAATTTGAGAAAGCAGATGAATTCAATGGGGCAGATGTTCTTTGATACACAAGAGGAGGGGATGCCAACAGCCTCATTCCAGAATGAATTAGTTTGTTGGCTGCCAGAGAATAACAATGGAGGAGACAATCAAAACCATATTTTTGGTGCTTCTACTTCTGATCATTCTTGTATTCGTCTAGGGTGTGTGGTTTATTTCTCTTTTAAATAGAAATAAAAAAGAAATAAAAAATAAAGAACTTCGATTGATTGACTTATATTTAGGTATTGGGTGGTATGATCCACGCCACGTACATATAAAGATATGAAGAAGTGTTTGTTGTGCTATATATACATAATTTCAGGAGCAATTCGGCAGCAACAATTTACAATGAAATACCGAATAATGCATCAGCAGGGGGTGTAAATGGGGAGGCAAACAGCATCGGAAGTGGAGGTTACCCAAGTGATGATCACAACAGCCTTTCACACCAGTGGCACCATGCCTCTACTTCAACTCATGATCTCTTCTCATCACTCATCCCACCAACCTCCTTCCCTCAAGTAACTCTCTTCAAATCTTTAAGATTCACTTTTTTTTTACCAGCAAAAAGAACTTTATTGATGAAAACAATATACAATATATGTGAAATTACATCAATAAAGAAAAGGCAACAGCAGAGATCATAGTGAACTCACCTAAACCCAACTAGGCTGCCACCAGGGAGGACACCCAATCGTGTGCTAGGTCAAGCCAAGAGGTTGGTGAGAGACCAACAAAATTACAAACAACACAAAACAAGCCCCCAACAGGCACCAAGCAACAACTAAGCAACAATACACCACTAGCAAGAGGCCAGCAGAAGCATCTTCAACCTCTGAACTAGCCTACCAAGATGACTCACCTGCTAATTTTCAATCCAACCTGATCTCACCCTCACAATACCTGATTTGATTCAAATTGGACACAATGTCCTGCACAAAGTAATTCACCCCGAGTAATTCACCCCTTTTAAATTGTGTTTTTCCCATAGAGCAACCCCACTTTCACTTGTTCATTTAACTCCTCAAAATCAGGCTGACTTTCATTAAAAAGGCAGTCCTTTCTTATCTTCCTGTTAGTAAGAAAATTATTCTTATTCCCAATCGACAAGAATTAAACAATAATTCACACAAATAATTAGACAAACAGGTCAAACGACGGTGTATTTGATTCAAGTTGCCTTGAAAGTACAAGGAGTTCTTTGAAACAAATTACAATTTACAAGGGAAATTAAGTAAACAAAAGATAATTTCCAAATGAAAACTATCAAAGTTCACCAGGTTACAACTTACAAAATACAAAGAAACAACTCCTAAATTACAAAACTAATTCTAAGTCTAAAAGCTAAGTGTTATTGAGTTGATGATGTCCCTTCTCTCTGCAAACGTTCAGCTTTTATATTTTCCCTTGAAACTCTAGTCCATGATCCAACCTACCTTGAAATTTGCTGGCCAATCCTTTCCCAATTGCTGCAACTGCTTATTCATCTTTCTCCAGCACTTCACACAGACCTGCCACATGTCCCCCATGATCTCTAGCACTACCTTTCGACATAGGAAAACATCTTTACTAAGGCCCATAACTACTTGCAACCTCCTTTACTTCTTTAAACTTTTTATCTTTGACCAACTCCACTTTTAAAACTCCAGCCACATCATCACATAATTTCCCTTCAATTAACGAGCATGATCAACAGAGGAAAGCTTTCCAATTCACGAATATGGTATAAATCAGTCCACCAAGCCAATTAACCAATTGATAACTACCTCATGACCTTCTCAGCCAATTGATGCACATGATCAATTCCTTCACACCACGTAACCCCTTGATTGCTGAAAGACTTCATTTTGACTTCACTGCCACGTGTTATTATCCGATTAATCCACCTATTGGTAGGAATTTTACGAAAATGGGTGCAAACACTTCCAAACAGACCACATAACAATAAGGGGAACAATCCTCCAAATGCTCATAACTGACTTCTTGAATTTGGCACATGACCACCATAAAAGAAGGTTCTCAATGATCTAGGTATAGCCCACTTCAAACCCCACCAATTGACTACACCAGACCATAGTTTCCAAACCAAAGGGCAAAATAACAAGATATGATTTATTGATTCGTCCTCTGATTTACAGAATAAGAACAAAGTGTTAGCAGAGCTTGTTAATAATCCAATGCTCTGCAAAAAGACAAGTTTTGTTACTTACTCATGTTGATAAGTACCTGAAAATATTTGTACATGTACTAATTACATTAATGGTTACACTTTAATTTGTCTGATTGAACTCTAAATCACTAATGGAACACAATGATTCCTAATGTATACGCAATTAGATAATGGGAGGCCATTTGTGTAATCAGTGTAGTGGATATTATTAAATACCATTTGTTTCGTTACTCATTTATATAGGCCACTAAAGTACATATTTAATATTTGAGAGACTAAATTGACACAATTACGACATCAGATGTCAAAAAATACCACGAAGCCTAAATTGACGCAATTAGAACAAGAGAGATCAAAATACAACAAACTTTTAGTTCATTATGAGTTGATGATATGAGTGTTTGAAAAACCAACAGCCACAGGCACTTGAACAATAACTATAACAGGCTATATATTGTAAAAAGCCACTGTGGCCTTAAAATTTTTACTCTTTTTTTCAATTTTATTTTAATGAGAGGAATTACAAACAAAACAATACCAAAAATTGATGCAAAAATTAGTCTTAATGTTCTAATATCATTTAATTATGATGAATGCATATGGCAGAATGATATGGCGAGTCCAGACGTAGGAGCAGTGGAGCAACTTCAACAGGTAGAGGCCACGCAGAGCTGCCCGGGCCCCCCAGAGGCGGAGTTGGAGGTGGAGCTGCCATCTATTGTGCAGGATGCAAAATTTTGAGACAGAAAAAATACTTCCTTAGCAGTCCATACACAACCAGCCTTATAATGTATATTCATGTATACCATGTCCAAGCAAAAACATTTGTCAGCTATCATTTTGTTCAATTTATTAAGTCATTTCTAAACCCCATGAGCAAATTTCCAACTGCAATAAAATTTTGAATGAGATCATGGAACCAATGGCAACGCTTGCTTATAATTTCTAACTCGTGATTATTTTTTGTTGTTGTTGTTCTTTTTTTTTTCTTTTGTTAATGATGAAACAAATTTCTCTTTTATTAATTTTTTTTTTTTTTTTTTTGTTAATGATGAAACAAATTTCTCTTTTATTAATTGGAATTACATAATTAGTTAAATATGTTCTGTCCAAAAGAAAAGGATTTACTTATTTTGATGTATGTATTTTGATTTTACCATTCTCAAAACTACTGATGTATACATGTCGTCCATTGCATTTTTCAGAATGCATCGATCGATCATTTAAGTGATCACTTCATTGAACGTTTTTTGAAAATTTCAGTGAATGTAGCAATTGATAGGGGATTGATCAAATTTGAGAGCGATAGATTGCTCTTTAAGGATGATCGATCGCCAATAGAGGTCAATTATTCAGCTTTTCTTTCTCTCTCTCCTTATTCGCTTCTCTTCTCGTGTAGTTGAGATTTGACTTTGTAACCCTAAATAATAACTAATAAGATTTGATTTTGTAATTATAATTAGTATAATATTAATTTGAGGTTTAATATAGCACAGGACTTTAAGAATAGAAAGTGAATAAGACTTGCTATTGTATAGAAATTTGATTAAAAACTCCTTTATTCCCTCAAAGCATAAAAATAATACAAGTAGTTCACTCTTTAGCTCAACATGTTAGAAATGGTTTTGGAAAAAAATAGAATTTTTGCTAAACTTTGATTTAATTTTTAGATGGAACCTATGCGCCAAAGTTGGCGGGTTTAAGTGGTAACGCATTCTATGCTACGTTGTGATTCATGTGGTATATTTGGTTGCTTAAAACAATTATCGGGTGAATGAAAAATTGAAACTAAAGTGAGCTCTATGGAAATGGAGTGTTTGGTGAAAATTCCTTAAGGTTTGAATCAAGGCTTGTCCCACATTAGTTTGGTGGGAAAACTTTTATGGGTTTATAAGGCTTAAGTTTTTGACTTAGGGAGGGCCCCAAAGGGCACCCCAAGTTTGTAGAAGGAAGAGGTTATGGGCAAATTGGGCTAGACCCATTGAACTCAAAAATAAACATGCCCGCCGTTGTCCGTTCGGGAGGGCTGGGCGCGGGTGCGTGGTGTGAGGTTGGGTTGGGCTTGTCCAGCTCAATACCTATCTTTTTGGGCAAAAAACATTTGAATTTAATTTTAGTTTTTGGTAAAATAGGATCTGTCCATAATTCGAAATTAATTATGAAAATCTGTTCAGTTTAATTTCAATTTTTGAATTCAAATCTGTTTGCACCTCTTCAGAATTTCTGTACAGGTTTCTATCTGTCCGAACAGACTTAGTTCAAACCCATATTTGTTCAAAATTCAAACTGAACAGGTTTGTATCTATTCATTTAAACCGAACAGGTCTGGTACCTGTTCAAACAGGTTTGCTACCTGTTTAATTCAAACTAAAAGGCCACCATTCCATCTATAAATAGGCAGTCTCTCATTTGGTTTTTTCACTGAATTTTCGTCTAAAAAATCTGATTTTCCTCTCTGCAATTTGTTGGAAAAAAGAAATCCGATTTTCCTCTGCATTTTGCTTCATTATTTTCTTGTGAGAAAAAGTGAAGAGTGTAAACACAAAATGTGTTCGTTGTGCGAATAATTTGTAATGCTGCTGTAGACGTCCCCGAACGCCCCGGGAGGATGAGTCCCGTTCTGTTCATTTGGGGTCACTACAGCTTAGGACTCTCAAATTGTCACGGTTCTAAGTCTGAACCAAATAGTCCAAATCTGAAAAATCGTTTTGAGAAAACAGATTTTGAAAGAAGTGTCAAACATGGACTGCTTTTCCAGATACAGAGTCGCCACCTAAATATTTTATTTTGGGGGAAATTTAGGAAACCCTGACTCGTTGCCTAAGGCCACGTGTCCGTCATCACCAAAGTTGCCTCGGCTCGGGAACTTGGGTACGATTGGGGAAGGTCACTTCGTGAGCACCCCCGCTCGCCGGATCAAAGATCGGTCTCTACTAACCATGATATCTATTTTTGAAAACATTATGTGTTCTTATTCCGGTTATTAGCCTAGGTTTACTATGTGATGCGCACAGCATACAAGTATAGACTAGATCGCCTGGATTTGAACAAAACATTTCATGTTTATTTTTTTGAAAGATGGTTTGCTACTCGCAAGTAGGCTTAAAATGCAGATTTTGCCACCCGCAGGTGGGCTTAGAAAAGATGGTTTTGCCACTATCTAGTGGGCTTAAAACAAACAGTTGATGATTTATTCCAATCCAAGTAACCCAACCTTCACCCACAGGCATTCAGGCAGTTATATCACATAAGCATATAGCTCATGATAAGCACATGTATTTTATCGCAGTCACCTCAGCACGCATGTAAGGATGCTTAAAGCATAAAAACTACACCGAGTAGCTGCCCAAGCCAAAACAAAAGCATAATTAGAAATCGATGCATGATCCTATATAATACAAGAAAGTGGCTAATGCACACTGAAAAAATGCACTATAGCAGGCTCAGGCTAGTTCTAAACATGGCACATGGAAATGCTTACACTAACATGATTTCAACTTGGAATTAAAATACGAATGCAGTTAGTAATGATGGCGGCCGTAGCCCGGGTGCAGCAAAAACAAGATGATGATCAAACTGCTGTCTAGCTGTATGCCTAATTGAAATCATGCCTATATCTAACGCATCATAAGCAGGTAAATAAATAGGGAAAAAGACGTGGGGTTGGAAGACATACATCAAATTCACCTCACAACTCTATTAACATTATGGCCCTCGCACAGGAGGGTCCGAATAAATAATACAGTCCAATAAAAGGAATATTACAGTCAAATAATACAGTCAAATAATGTACAATTCCTAATTAATAACAAATATAACTAGGAAAATAAATAAACTGGCATGCAAGCCAGGGACTGCCTTGACTTCCGCTCGGATTTGATGAATGATGCATGCACGGGTTGCTTTGGCGGAGGGGAAATTAAAATTTTCACATGAGATGACCCCAATTAGCCTCTGTTGGTACACCTTTTTCTTGAAATAAGCGCGCACCATAGACCTCAAAAGACCGCTGTATATCTTTGATTTGCGCTTGCAAAGAGAGCAGGAAAGGCATAGCAATGTATTTTCACAGATATTACATGCCTCGATCTCGTTCCACAATCACGCATATACGATGGCATGATGGCGAAAGGGGTCGAATTGTGCCATATATCATTAGAATGGAATGCACATATAAACGCAAACAAGAATCTAAACATCATGCATGGATAATCCGGAGTTCCGCGTTGACTTGGATTAGACACGTTTCGTCATCGCGGAATACGATTCGCACCATTGTCTTTCTTCCGTGCCCGGGCTACTCCTATCCGAACAACATGCAAGAATGCATTGACTATTGCATGAAATGCCAACTAAGATACAATCCTAACAATACACATGCTTATGGAGAATGACAACACAATGACAATAAGGTAATACACAACCGAGCATGCACAATGCTATGGATGAAATGGCATACGCAATGCATAATGGGCTATCACCAAACAGAGAGAGCCTCAGCAACTCACATTAGCTCATCAGATGAAACAAGACAACTCGAAATGCGTGCACGCGATGCCGCAAACCGAGGACACCACTCAGGCATCCGAAATGCACTCTAATGAGCCATGGCAAAGACATGGAATATGATATGCAAACATGCAAAAATCAGTAGGTCAAAATAGGGGCAAAAACCCCAACAACAAGGCGAAATGACACCGAGAATGCATGGAATTTCTCCTGATAACATAGGATTTTGGGCTTGCATGAAATGGTCATATAAGCTATGTCTCATGGCATGCATAATTTGATACATGAAAGAATGAAAATACGAGCAAGGAAGGCCCCTAGAAAAGCACTTTATCAGAGTTTAAATACATTCTAGGCCCAATAACGTAAGCACAATATGGCAAAACTAGCATGCAAAAATGGCCCTAAACATGAGGTAAAGAAGCAACTGCACAGCTGCCGACCCCAACAGATCGGGGCCTTTCTACAATATTGAAGAGGGGCAAAATATGATATTATTACAGTGATGGCCAAGGCCTAAAAATCAGTACACAAGTATGCTTTTAAAATGCCAAAATATTTGCAAGATTATGGGCCCCAAAAAGAGGTCAAAACATCAAAGTATACATATACATTGCATCAAACAGCCAGCCCTTAAGGGGAACATTTGAACTGGGGGCAAGGAATAGAATGTTTTCAGTTTTTCTGATAAAAATGGACGCAAAAATAGAAGCCATATATAGGCTAATAGAGTCATGCAAAAATGGGACCCAGAGAAGGGATATTATATGAATTCTCAAGTGAACACATGGGGTTCCTAAAACCGTATTATGAGCCCTTCTAATGTTTAAGAGGGGCTTAAATAAAAAGACTATCTTACAGTTTAAACCCATGGGTTCAAACAGATCACACACAGGCCAAAAATACTATGCAAGATTACGGTATATAAGAAGGATAATGAGCAAGAAGTAAGAAATAGGGACCTCAAATACCGAAAATTCCTTAATGAAACATGAATAGAGGCGCAGACTAAAGGGTACTTATTCAAGTTTTGGTCGGAGCTCAAAACAGCAAGAAGGAAATAGACTAAACGAATATGTTGCAGGGAAAATTAGAGCTTCAAAGAGGGAATTTTGGTATTTCAACCTTGAAGACCAAACTTTGATAGCTTCTTGCTTGAGTTTTGTGGCTCCTTAGGCTTTGAAGAAGCAGCTCAGCATACTGGAATGAAGGAGGGAAGGGTGGGGCTTGGTGGTGATTGAAGAAATGAGGTGTGGATTAGGAATTTTTTGAGGAAATGAGAGAGATAGAAGGGAGCTATGAATGCAAGAGCTCTCAAGGGAAATTTTTGGTAATGCTCTATTCAACCAGCCCTGTTTTGCCACCAAGTAGTAGATACACCAAAAACGGGGGAAAGGAGGGAAAGAAAT